TGGAGCATTAACGCTTTAGTTTGGTTGTGAGGACATTTTGTTACCACTTTGGTAATCATCTGACTTTTTGAAAACTGAATTTCCTTGTTTTCTGTCTCCGTTGGCAGGTGATGGTTGTTGACTCTTAAGCTGTGGTTTGTAGGCTGTAGCTTCCGTCTTTATCTTCGGAACCTGTTTTGGCTGCTCAGTCAGTTTGACATCGTGGATAAATCCTTCAGACTAATAATGTGCATCTGCTTCCTTTTCAAAGATGCTTTTTCCGATTTCCAGAAAAAACGTTTCAGGGAGTGCGGACAGTTATTGGCGGGATGTGCTGTTTGATGATAAAAGATAAGTAAATGTTGTATTGCTTATTATACATTTCGCTTACATCCATTCAATTCCAACTCCAATGGAATTGATTAATTAAATAGTTTAATATTGAAATAACTTTTCTTATGAAACACAACAATAAACATGGAGCTTTTTTTCAGCCACTGTGTTCTTTAAAAAACCTCTCTGTTCATCATTGCTTGTGCTTCAAGCGCTGATTTGTTTTCTCCTTTTATTATTTTCCCCTTAGTGTCTTTTGTGAAGCTCTAAATCCGCCACATGAATGAATTTCCTTGTCGAACGTTCCAAGGGAAACTTGGTACAAACAGTACAATGTTTGTTTCACTTCAACTCAAGGTTTAAAGCATAAAGACCTAAAAGGGGAAAGTGCTTATTTATCCTCATGCAGGTTTTGCTAAATAACAAAGAGGACAATAAACCTGCACGCTGAGCAGGTGAGATTCCAGGTCCGACCTGAACTGATGTGGAGCTCGCTTCACGCATAAAGAACTTGCTCGTGCAGTTTGAATTTGGCCCAACGTGATTAGTGCATATTGGGCGATACAAAGGGAACCCGCTGGATTCAAATTGATATTCAACCCCCCCCCCCATGACCTGAAGACTGAGAGAGATGGAGAAAAACTCAGCGAGGTGGAAAATTATCAAATGCAGATGTCGGAGCGAGGGCGAATCAAACAGAAAGTTAGAGTGTGAGAGGGCGAGAAAGAAAAAAGGGCATAAAGTAGATGGAGGGAGGAGTGGGGGATGCACGGGGGGGGGGGGGGGGCGTGCTTACCTAAGGGGGACATCTCCGGGACTCCGGCCAAGTACGGCCCGTCCAGAAACTTTGGCTCGTTGTCGTTGATGTCCTGCACCTTGACCACGAATTCGGACCTGGGCTCCACGGGTATGCTGGTGATCCGGTCCACGGCTTGAGCCTGAAGCGTGTAGTAGGCCTGCGCCTCGCGGTCCAGGCGCTTGGTGGCGTGGATGTCCCCCGTGTTCTCGTCGATGGTGAAGATGGAGGAGGAGCCCTCGCCGGATAACACGTACTTCACCTTGCCGTCCCCCTTGTCCACGTCCGAGTGCAGCTGGAGGGAAAAGGAGAAAAGGCCTTTTAATGTTTTTAAGGGTTGGTGACGTGTTTAATGCGGTGCCTAAATATCTCATATTAAACATAACCAAAATATGTAAATCTTTTATTTTAATATTCATCCACACAGTACAGAATTCACTGCTTACAGCGAGCAAACAACAAGCAACAACAGATCATGTTTGTTGGACAAACATCTGAATCAGATCAAAGCACTCCGTATTTGGGCATGAATTCATTTCGACGCAAAATAATGGAATAAACCGAAACGGTGCCATTTAGTGCAATGCCCCCGTGACGTGCTTGCTAATGCAACGCTCATTACGCACGACCCAACCAGCATCTTCCATTAAAACCTGCAGAAATAACAAACGACCATTCGCCCCAAACGCAACCCAACAACATCTTTTTGTCCATTTGAAGCGTCTAAACAAAATGTTTCCTTGGAAAAAATATGTCAAAATAGTTCTTTGCAAAGATGTGATGCAGAGCTTTTACAAAAGGTGCACTTGGAAACCTTTCATGCAAAAGACATTACTAATATTATTATCTTTTATATGGGAGTGGATGAAGTCTCTGTGTTCCGCATTGTGCTTCCTTTTATTCGTGTCCTGCCCGTTAAAAGGATGGTTTGGTGGGACGTAAATGTCCTCCGTGCAATTTCACCAACGACATCTCTTTGACGTGACCTTTGATTGCTATAGTTGAAATATACAGTTCTACTGAAAGCAGCATATTTGATAGGCACAAAAATCCTCCCGACTCTACAGGTCTTTTCAGCAGCGGGAGCCGACGCCACACTGTCACATCCGTCCTTTATAATGACCAGAAACGGACGGCGCGCCAAATAACACACCTTCAAATCAAGTCTTTTTCGCTCAAAGCATTCGCGCTCCCACTTTGAAACCCCGGCTTTGTTTCTTTGAGCAGAAACGCGGATAGAAGTTCTTTTCATGTTCGACAAACAGACACGCGGGTCTGCGCAGATGTCAGACGAGCTACGTGCTCGTCATCGAACTTGTGCACCGACTACGACAAAACGTCATGGCGCGTGGCGGCGTTTTAATCTCAGGAGAACAAGTGGTGACTTTCAGGGTGACTTTGAGACACCCCCCCCCTCCTTGCCTCCTCAAAGTACGACTCCAACCAAAAACAATCCTGCAGCGGCTCTGAGAAGAAGGAGCACATGGAGCAATGGCAGCGCTGAAAGCCCCGTGACGAGCAGCCGCTGGTGAATAATTCCGTTTGAAGTCCCTTCCAGCGGCTCGACCTCGAAGCCGTCACGCGAGCGCCTTGTTTACGGACGGACGGACGGACGGACCCTTTTCCGACTGTCGGCATTTAGCAGAGTGCGTGTTTGCGCCTTTGCCCCCCGTCACCTCCAACGCGACGCGACACCTCAATTAACGGCGTGCGGGGCCGAGCTTTTAGTGGATGTTTTCTCAGGGGATGTTGTTTTCTTCTGTCTCTCTCTCTATGATTCTCAATATTTTTGTGCTTACGAAAGAAAAAAGCTTCAATAGAACATGTAATTTGTGCACTTCCACGGTGTCCTCGAGTGTTCCACAGTAGACCTTTGAAACCCATAAAGGACCAGCGCGAGTGTATCAATCCGTCCCTTTTCTTAGAGGATTGTTTCCCATGTTTCATGTTTCAAGAGCGGCAAAATGGTGCTTCAGCGATTTAGCATTGCTCTGCGCTTTTGGAGGGTGCAATACTTTTTGACAACATCCTAATGACGTCACTGTGACATCATCGGAGATCTTGTTTAAGAGAACTAATTTTACAAATTATAATGTTTTGGGGTTGGTTTTTTTTACAGCCAAGATAGAACAAAAATATTTCCATATTACTTCAAATGAAGTATTTGGCCTCTCTTGTCGTCGTTTATTGCGCAACCAAATTATGAGACGTTCCTCTTTTTTTATATTACCGACTCTTCTCAATATGTCTGTAAATGTCAACACCTCATTATCAGGAAAACAACACGGGTATTTCAGGTTTCGCGCTGCAGGGGGGGGGGATGACAAGGTCAGCGTCGCGTTGGCGCGGCGGACGTGACACCAAACGGCGTTGGCCTTGCGTTTGCACGGCTTGTGTCCCGCAGCTCGCCGCGTTTGCTCGCCGTCTCGACGAGGAGAAAGTCAAATATTCGACCCCGAGGGAGCCGTCCTGTGTGCCGGTGATTCCGGGGCTAACGCCGCGGACAAGGGAGAGCCAAAGCGAGAGGCCGAGGGGGCGGGTCAAAGGTCGATGCATTTCCTGTTTCTCTGCGGTGAATCTCCTCAACGCGGAGCGGCGCGTTATTAAAAGCACAGCCCGGTCGAACGGCCCTCTCTCATTGGTGTAACCCGTTTTAAACCCGTCACTGCTCATTCTCAGGTGGTATTTGAAGTTTCAACTCTCATTACTTTTCCTCGGCGCCGTAGTTGCTTCCCTTGCGGAAAAAATGTGAAGACTCCTCTGTAATTCTGTTCTCCACTCCCCCGGAGGTGGGCGCATGACGCGGCGCCGCGGCGTAGCTCAAAGGCACTCGGAGGGATCGCGAGGGAGAAGGAGGAATCTGAACGCGAAACCCTTCTGAAATCAGCGCAGACACTTATCATCACTTTGTATGCAGGCGGTCCTCCGGGGAACAGCCTGTTAGCTTTGTGTTCGCTTGTTTGCCTTGCAGCGAGGGAGCGCGGGAGGGGAGGGGGGGGGTAAAACGCATTAAAGGACCCGTAACAACTGGCGGAGACAGGCCCGTCCTATCACAGTGCGCTCAAATGTTTCTTTTCGATTGAACGCTACAAGAAAAGTGATGTTGGGAAGTGTGTAATTCTATTTATTGCCTCTTTACGCCCGTCTGGCTCGGCTCTGTGCAACACGGCAAGTAGTAAAAGTGTAAATACATACAGAAATACAAATACTCAACCCCGAGGAGCTTTGAATTTGCACCTCTCTTGGGTGAAAGTTCTCCCATTCATTGGACTGTGCACAATCCAAACACACAAAAGGCATTTCTATGGGCAACGTGTGAGCAAAACTGGACCCGGTGCAGCGAAACAAGCGCGCTGCTGCCAACTGCTCAAGAGCCCTTAATCAACAACCGCCCTCGAGATATTTCACAGAGCAACTCCACGTCGGGGCTTAACAGCGTCCGTGGCAGCAAGGTGCGCTTCACAAACAAGCTAAAAATAAAGAGTGGAGCGCGGGCGGCTGCACTCTGACATCGTCTCCTGACGCAGGAAAACCTGCACACAACAGGCCCTCAGTGTCAATCACACGCCGGCCGCGCTTATTGCATCCGACGAAAATCACACGTCTGCCAGCGGACGGACGTCATAAAAAGGTACGCGCAGCGCACACAAAGGGCGGGGGGAGGCGGGAGACGAAGGGGGCGGGGGAGGAAGGTCACTGCGATGCATTAAAGCGCTGAAGGGGGTCGGGGGTCGGGGGTGGGGGGGGGGCTCGGGCGCAGCTGTGACCGACGTGCTCGTCTTCACCGTCTGTTCACCGGGCCATGTGCTGGTGAGTAGCCATGGTGCTGGGCTCCGAACAGAGGGCCCCCCACACCGCCCCCCGCCCCCCCCCTCTTTCATGTGGAGCTGGGGAGACAGCGGTCGCCATGGAGAGGACACACATGGGATCCGCACACACGGCCCTTCAATTCAATGTGCTGGTCTCCTCCACAACTCTCCCCCTTCAATTACCTCATAATATCTATTCTCATACCTCTATATGTATGCATTTGTTTTTTGTAAATTTATTCTTCATTCTTTTACGTTCCTATTTGTAACGTCCCGTCCCACATGCTCTGCTGCCGATTACGTTGCCTCTTTTTTAGTTGTCTGATTTTATTGAGTTGGAAAGCATTTTGTTTTGGACGATTCGCGTTATTGTCATTTTCAATCCCCTCAACAATATAAAATACCATGATTGCACGTACTTGCTGGGATTATTGCTGTACGAAACAGAGTGATTGAGTTGGGGTACGTTCCAGCATAGAGCGCTTTGCAATTTGTGAAGCTATTTAAGAGATTCACACACGGAAATCTCTCCAACAAAGTAAAGGGAGTATTTTTTCAGCAGCATTGTTTTTGGACTCATTTGCAGTTGATCAGATGATTTCCCCAGAATGAAGTTATTTACTCTGCCGGATGAGAAACGTCCTCAAGCACAAAGGTAGTGTAGAAAGTATCTGAGGCTCGTCTGCCCTAAAGAGCAAATCAGCTGAAACAATTTAGGGTTATTTCTGCTGTTAGATTTTCCCTTCTGGAGAATTTAAAAGTTTAATTTTTAATTAATTCCACTTTTTTTTTTAAACGGTGAAATTCCATTTTTAACCTCTATTTTTTTGTTAGAATATTACACAAAATTAACAGCAATGGACTGTTAAGGTATAAAACAAAATTTGATGAAATTGCACTTCTTCTGGGTTTGTATCCACTGGTTGAAAAGCACTTATTGAAAGTCGCTTTGGAAAAAAGCATCAGCTAATGTAATGTAGTGTAATCTAATGTAAAAATAGATTTCTGCAATTAGATTGCTGCAGTTTGTACCCAAGTTGCATTTGATTCAACATAAAAAAAGGGAAAATGTTTTCTGTAAAGAACTTAAAAGGTCTTCAAACGTGAAACGGCACTTGCTGTTTAAAGGTAGAGCCACTGAACGCACTTGTCGTTGTGTCGTTCTGCTGCTCTGTCGGCAGTTGAATGGCCTCTTGTAGTGAAGCGATGAGAGCAGCAGGTCAACTCGCAGTGGCACCATTGATATACAAGTAGCTGAAAGAGTACAAATGCTCGGTTTGTGATTCGTTGAGCAAAATGAAACTAGGAGATTTTCTATTTCCTGTCTGGAGTAAATCTGCCTCCAAATGAGTGAAAGCGGCAAACAGATGTGTGTGACGGTTCGACAGCTGGAACAAAAACAGCCAGCGGAGCTTTTTTTAGAGGCGGGTTGCAGCGGGGACGAGAGATGCTGGTTCTCCCTCTCTCTCTCTCTGTCTCTCTGCCT